GACGGCATCACATTACATAACAGTTTTGATGAGTCTCTTATTTTTTTTCCATTCCTTTTCAAATTAATTTTGTCTTTGCTAGCGAACGCGGTATCGTTTAACAAAAGGGTTTATTGTCGGCATTTTTTCTCGCAAAATAATGAACTTAATTTTGCCAAATAACGTTTTAACTTTTGGAATATTTTCGTGATAATTAGAAAAATTTTTGGGTTTATTGGCCCGCAATGAAAGTCAAGGTCAGTTAATGACTGACACTTCTGAACTTTTCTTCAATTCTGTGCAGTTTATGGAAAAAAAATGAAAAGCTTGAACTCATATTGACCGCTTGCTGATGTATTTCCATTATTCATTTATGGATTAAGTGATAAGAGTTTCAGTCTCTGGGAACTTACTCGTTCGCTTACATCGATGTACTCCCACGCTAGGAAAAAAAGATTTTGACAACTTTTATGATAAAACGAAAACTCGTTGACACTATTGTAATGCCAACGAATAATCGCTTTCTTTTATTGTAATGCCTCGTTGTGTTACACTCTAACCCTGGGCTGGTTGCGCCCACCATCTGCGACGATCTAACCCTTGGCTGGTTCGGGGGGAAATCTGGTTTACCACGGAACCATGTGTGTTCTAACCCTCTGGTTGTCTTGGGCGGTCGATGTCTGGTTAGATTCGATATCTGCCTTGTCGTTCCCAGCTCGCTTCCAACGTCTGGTTACCGAAGTAACTGCTTTGATTTCTAGTCTAACCTACCCACGTTGTGATTTGATCTTAGGTAGACGAAATCAATCAGGCGTCGGGCCGTAATGCAAGCTGAATCCGGAGCAAAGGTGATACCGCACAAGTGTATGTAAAAGAAAAAATAATGAAATAAACTCAAAGGTTCAAATGTGTTAAAAAAATAACAAATATCTTTATATCTGTTTGCTGAATACAGGAGTGCGTCTTTCTCCCAACCCGCTTCTATGGATTCGTGACACTTTTGCGTTTCTTAGGCGAGTCTTGATATCTTAAGTGTTTTTTTTCAATAAACTGCTTTTTTGGTATCTTCAGGCGATATTCGTAAAACTTTTTTTGGTGGTTTAAGTCTAAGTCGTTCTTCAAAATTGTTTTTGGTTAGAAGTCTAAGTCGGAGTGCGTGGAAATCTTGCGATCAGCTCCTGCGGGGCTGGTCTCCAACTGAGACTCTTACTGGGCTCTCTCTCTCGAACTCTTTCTGAAACTGTGTCTCTGAAACTCTCTCACTGAACGCCCGGGGACATTCGTTTATATGGACGCCGACCAAAACCGGTTTGGGGCCTGTCGTGGTTTGGATTCTTCGATAAATCCAAATCCCCAATAAGGATTCTCTTTGTCTTCGGACAGGAAAATTTATCACTTCCCATTTTTGGAAGTCAATTACTTTCTGTTTTAGAGGGGTTCTTTCTCCTTTGGGGGAGGTCGGAGGAGAATTATCCTCCTAAACTCTTCCTTTCTCATATTGGTATCTCATACCAATCCCTTCAGTGGGCGTCAACAGGTTTCCCTTCTTTCTCATTCATTCACCTTCGCCCATCACTCACGCTACCACTTTCAGCCAATGAACGCTCGGCAGTGTGGGTGTGGCTAGACTGGCCACAGTTTACAATTATCGCCCAAAGAAAAATAAGAGTCTTCCATTTTCTTTCTTTCTTTTCTATCGGCCAGAAATCTTATGAATCGCACATTGCGGCCATTAATTTCTTATCTTGGGGTCACCTGGAATTCATTAGCGGAATTCTCCCGACTCATTAACTAACACCAGTCAACTATTAACTGGGTGGTCGTTCCCATCTCTTTGTCTTTCTCGTCTCAATATTATCGCATTTCCAGATGCCCGTTCTCGGTGACAGAATGTCTGTCGTTAACAGTTCGAACAGATAGTAACAATGATTCCCTCTTCTCAACCCTCTCTTCTCAAGTCAAGATCCGGACATACAACAGATGTCTCTCCTCGCTGGACACAAGAACCAAAACCAAATGATATCTCTAAAAGATAATTAATGGCTATTCTTTCAGGGTGGTCTCACTGAAATTCACTCTCGGTCACATACTTGGACCAGTTTTATTTATCTTTTAGAATTCTGTTTTCCTTGTCGCGTTGTGACATTACTTAATTCTGATAGAATCCGAAACCTGCTTCTCGTACGAATTTTCTGTCTTCTGCGAAAAAATATCTTACTTCGTAAATGAAAATAAAATCTTTACCCACTTTTCTTTTGTTAAAAAAAATGATGTCACTCGGTATGTCTTTCGTTATCGCTCTTTCTCGCCTTAAGTATTTCTCATTTTTAATTTCCATGCTTAATTAGTTAGCCAATTACCATAGCTAAATAGTGTCACATTTGTAGTAGAGACTTTGTAATCACAGATACAACTCTAGTAACGCCGTTGAACAATACTGGGGTCAGACGCCTTCGAATAACACTCGCACGAATAGCACATGCCCGATAATACTCGCTCAAATAGTAACCACCGAATAGTGATCCGAATAGTAATAGAGTAGAAATATTGATCCGTATAGTGTTCGATATGAAAATATTGAAATTGAATAGTAATAGAATAGCGATCCGTATAGTCTGAAAAGAGGATAAAATGGAAATAGTGATCCGTATAGTGATCAGTATATAAAAAAATAGTATCGTGAATAGTTTATAGCAGAAAAGATCCGTATAGTAATAGAGGATAGAGGGGAAATAGTGTTCCGTATAGTAATATCTTTATGAGAAATAGTATCGTGAATAGTATATTTTTAAATAGCGATCCATATAGTAATAGAGGATAGAGTAGAAATAGTGTTCCATATTTTGATCAGTTTAAAATAGTATCGTGAATAGTATAAGAGAATAGCGATCCGTATAGTAATAGAGGATAAGTAGAAATAGTGAATATAGTGATCAGTATAAATAATAGTAATAGAATAATGGAAATAGCGTCCGTATAGTAATAGAGGATAGAGTATTTTTTAAGTGATACGTATAGTGATTCGTATGTAGAAATAGTATCGTGAATAGTATAGAGAATAGCGATCCGTATAGTAATAGAGGATAGTTATGAAATAATGGAGTATAGTGATCAAATAGAAAAAATCCGTATAGAATACTATATAAAATAATGATCCGTATAGTAATATAGAGGATAATTTATAAATATTGATACGTATAGTGATCAGTAAATAGAAATAAATAGAGGATAGATTAGAATAATAGTGATCTGTATAGTAATAGAGGATAGATTAGAAATAGTGATCCGTTTAGTAATGGTATAGAATAGAAATTTAAAGCATAGTAAGTATAGAAAATAGCGATCCGTATAGTAATGGAGGATAGAATAAAAATAGTGATCCGTATAGTGATCAGTATAGAAAAAAGTATAGCGAATAGTATAGAAAATATCGATCCGTATAGTAATAGAGGGATAGAATAGAAATAGTGATCCGTATAGTGAAATATATGGAATTTAGTATAGCGAATAGTATAGAAATAGCGATCCGTATAGTAATAGAGGATAGAGTATAAATAGTGATCCATATAGTGATGAGGATAGAAGAAATAGTATCGTGAATAGTATAGAGAATAGCGATCCGTATAGTAATAAGGGATCTTGAAATAGTGATCCGTATAGTAATAATCAGTATCAAATATATCGTGAATAGTATAGAGAATAGCGATCCGTATAGTAATAGAGGATAGAATAAAATAGTGAAATTATAGTGATCGGTATAGAAATAGTATAGCGAATAGTATAGAGAATAGCGATCCGTATAGTAATAGAGGATAGAATAGAAATAGTGATCAATTAAACGCCACGTCAATTCCCATATATACAGTTCATTTACCATGACTTGATCTACTTATTTGAAATGGAATCACCCGAGTTTGCTTAGTGACTGGCGATCTATGTTCGGCAGCAACACTTTACTTATATACAAAAAGAAAAAACAACAAAAAAAAACAAGCACTTTGTGCCATCGTCAAGTCCTACAGGGTCCTTGCAGTTCAGTCTAAAGTCAACCATTTTTTTTTCTGTTTTTCCCTACGGAATCCTCACAATATAACATCTATGTATGCCGATGTCGCATCTTGGATTCCTTCATCCTGCGGCAGTACAATCTTTTTAAATTGCCTTCATTATAAGAGGCGACATATTGAGGTAAAAACCTAATCGCGTAAGGCAGTACCTCCGCCCTTTCAGTAAGACTGGAAAGACCACAGCAATCGGTATATGTTAACCTGTAGGTACTTTCTAAAGATACACTGCGCCTCCGTTGTCATCATTTCCTTAGCTTGTCCGCACAGACATCCACGCTTGCCTTTTTCTTTCTCTCTTTCTTTCTCTGTACCCATTATGTATTTATTTCGTTTTTTCTTTCTTTCTTTCTTTCTTTCTGTCTTTCTTTCTACACTTTTCCATAAAGTCCCTCTCTCTTTCGCTATTCTTTCTTTCTTTCTGTCTGTCTTTCTTTCTTTCTTTCTTTCTTTCTTTCTAGACATTTCCCTTTAAACCCATCTATCTTTTACTACTTTCTTTCTTTCCTTTTTCATTCTCTCTTTTTTGTACTCATTATGTATTTCTTTCGTTTTTTCTCTGTTTCTTTCTTTCTACACATTTCCCTTTAACCCCATCTATCTTTTACACTTCTCTTTGTTCTTGCGTTTTTCTTTCTTTCTTTCTTTCTTTTGTACCATCTTTGTTTTTCCTTTCGTTTTTCTTCTGTTTCTTTCTGTCTTTTTATGCACTTTTCCTTGAATTTTCTTTCTTTCTTTCTTTCTTTCTTTCTTTCTTTTTAATTTATTCCTTTTTCCTCGCTCTTCGTTCATCCTCAAGTATTTCTTTTCTTACTTATTCCTTTTTTCTTTTTTTTATTTATATTCTTTTTTTCTTTCTTTCTTTCTTTCTTTCTTTCTTTCTTTCTTTCTTCCGTTTTTCCTCAAATTAACCCAGTCGCTTTTTGTTCTCGTGTTTAGTTTTACTTTTTTTCTAAAATGTTTTTTCTTTCTTTCTTTCTTTCTTTCTTTCTTTTTTCTTTCTTTCTTTCATTCTTTCTTCCTTTCTTTGTACGCTTTATGTATTTCTTTTGTTTTTTTTCTGTTTCTTTCTACACTTTTCCTTACAGCCCCCTTACTTTTACTCTTTCTTTCTTTCTTTTTTCTTTTTTCTTTCTTTCTTTCTCTCTCTCTTTCTTTCTTTCTTTCTTCCTTTTTTCTTTCTTTATTTCTTTCTTTCTTTGTACGCTTTATGTATTTCTTTTGTTTTTTTTTCTTTTTCTTTCTACACCTTTCCTTACAGTCTCCCTTACTTTTACTCTTTCTTTCTTTCTTTCTTTTTTTTCTTTCTTTCTCTCTCTCTTCTTTCTTTCTTTTTTTTCTTTCCTTCTTTCTTTCTTTCTTTCTTTGTACGCTTTATGTATTTCTTTTGTTTTTTTTTCTGTTTCTTTCTCTGTTTCTTTCTACACTCAAGAAAGACAGTCCTTAAAAAATTTTACTCTTTCTTTCTTTCTTTTTCTTTCTTTCTTTCTTTCTTTCTTTCTTTCTTTCTACACATGTCCCTGTAACTACATCTATCTTTTCCTCTTTTCTTTTTTTTCTTTCGTTATTTATTTCTTTCCTTTTTTCGTTCCTTCATTTTTTTCCCTTTTTCTTTCTTTCTCTCTCTTTTTTTTTTTTTTTTTTTACCCTTTATGAATTTCTTTCGTTTTTTCCTCTGTTTCTTTCGGTATTTCTTTCTCCCCTTCGCCATAAAGTCCCTCTCACTTTCACTTTTTGTTTCTTTCTTTCTTTCTTTCTTTCTTTCTTTCTTTCTTTCTACTCATTTCCCTTTAACCCTATCTATCTTTTACTCTTTTCTTTCTTTCCTTTTTATTTCACTCTTTCTTTCTTTGTACCCTTATTGTTTTTCTTTCGTTTTTCTTCTTTTTCTACTCTTTTCTTTGAAGTTTCTTTCTTTCTTTTCTTTTCTTTTTTCTTTCTTTCTTCATCATTCCTTTTTCCTCGCTCTTCATTCACTTATTCTTTTTCCTTTCTTTCATTTATATTCTTTCCGTTTTTTCCTCAAGATTAAACCAGCTTTTAAGCTTTTTGTTCTCGTTTTTAGTTTTTCGTTGTTTTGTTTTTTCTCAAATTCCACACGTTTTTCTTATCGCCAGTGTTTCTTCAAAAAATATTCTACGCTTCTTTGCCCGATTATCGAAAATATTATTTATTGGTTTATTTTTTTTCTTCGATTTTCCTTCGCATAATTATTTCGAATTTTCTCGTTGATTTATTTCAATATTAAATTCAACATTATATTCTTTTTCATGTTCTGTTTTGAAATTCACCTTTCTTTTAATTTTGTATTCATTAAAATACATTTCTCTATTTGTTTATTTTCTCTTCTTATTATTAAATGTTATTCTTTTTAACTTCTTGCATCCTTTTTCACTGTTGTCATCTTTCTATTTTTGTCTCGTCCTTCTTTTTCATCTTCTTCTTCTTTTCCTTCTTCTTATTTTCCTTCTTCTTCTTTTCCTTCATCTTCTTCTTTTTCTTCTTCTTCTTCTTCTTCTTTTGTTTTCTTCTTTGTTTTCTTTTCTTCTTCTTCTTTTCTTTTCCTTCTTCTTCTTTTCTTCATCTTCTTCTTCTTTTCCTTCTTCTTCTTCTTTTTTCTTCTTTTTCTTCTTCTTTTCTTTTCCTTCATCTTCTTTTTTTCTTTTCTTCTTCTTATCTTCTTTTTCTTCTTCTTCATCTTCTTCTTCTTCATCTTCATTCTTTTTCATCTTCTTCTTCTTTTCCTTCTTCTTCTTTTCCTTCTTCTTCTTCTTTTTCTTCTTCTTCTTCTTTTCCTTCATCTTCTTCTTTTTCTTCTTCTTCTTCTTCTTCTTTTGTTTCTTCTTCTTCTTCTTCTTCTTCATCTTCTTCTTCTTTTCCTTCATCTTCTTCTTTTTCTTCTTCTTCTTCTTCTTCTTCTTCTTTCACTGAGTTCCTCAACTTCTTGAACACCCTCCTTTTCTCATTAGTCCATTTTATTTCTTTACTTCTTCTATTCATCGTCAAATATGTCTTTATGTATGGAAAATATATATATATATATATATATATATATATATATATATATATATATATATATATATATACATAAGAGATGAAAAACACAAGAAAATGGAAATAGATCTACGAACACACGGGGGTTCATTAAAAAAATCAGAATGCCGATAACTCCTTCACCATTTCTCGGAGCAATCTTAATTGTTTTATGAAAAGTTCACGCAGAACATTTCACTGGCAGATCAAGAAAGACATTTGGGTCACTAACGCACAAAAAAGAATGGAGAATATTTAACATCGAATAACATAAGAAAAAAAATTAATTATTTTTAATACTATCTGGAAATCTCCACACTTTGCGTGATGAAGTTAGCGAGACCAGAAACACGTGTAGCAAAATTATGGAAAATAAAAGCATATTATTTTTTTAAAAAATCCCACTACAACCAAAAACATTTTCGGTTTCTCTCTTCTTTTTTATATATATATATATATATATATATATATATATATATATATATATATATATATATAATATTAGTGATAAATATACATACATATACAAAATATATAAATACCCATACATGTATATTTTTTGAATAAAAATTCAAGAGGATAGAATCCAGGTAGAACTCAATGTCAGGACAGAGTAAGAATATAATAAAAGGCTTAAACATTAATATTCCATGGTCATAATTTATTGTGATAAATTGGATCGTATTTACGATTCAATAGAATAAATTATGACCATGGAATATGAATATTTAACCTTTTATATATATATATATATATATATATATATATATATATATATATATATATATATATATATATATATATATATTTCGAGAATTTCGACGTATGTGGGTCAAACAGATCAGTTCCCAGAAACCGACAGCCCGACAACAACATATGAGATTTGATTATAGTGGTGAAGTTTTCGTGCAGGACCATCCACACTTTTTGAAGGGCCGAATACAGAGACCTGGAGCACTAAGTGCCACAAGGTCCCCAAACGACCCTCCGCAGGTTTTGAATTCCAGTTGCCATCCAAGGTTATAGAACCCAGTCTGTCTTGCTATTTACCCATAGCTGGAGGGATAAAGAAGAGGATTCTCACCTTTCTCAATGGTATTAACACTAGTATTAGTATTCCAGGGGACACGTATTTGTCTCTCAATGCATTCTCCGGACCGCAACACTGCCACCCCGGGTTAGGATTGACCTTGGAACAACAGAACTTAAAACGTCTAATCACCTAATCAGAAACCTTGCTGCCGGTTATAGTTTATCGTCACACCCAGGACTTCTAACGTTAGGAGACTGAGACACATATCGACTTAACATGGAGTGACCAAATGCATATAGATAGATAAGGACAAAAGTGACAGGGTCTCCGCAACCACTGTCCCGCTGACGTTGATCCTCACTTACCATACCAATGAGATGAGGGTTGAGCTGCGAGGTCCTTATAACCGGGACCAAGCTTCCGTCATAGTGAAAAATAAAAACTACACTTTGGTGACACTCTGAAGTTCAGTTCTAAGTAAATGTTTGTTTAGAATTGCGAAATTGATTGGATACAGTTTCTAAAACTGTATTCAAGTCTTAATTCATGATTGATAGCAGGGGTGGGAGAGGAGAAGTGGATTCATGCCTTTTTCCAAGGCATTTGTGCGTAAGTGAATATTTGGAACCCGGCTGAAATTGAAACTCGGCTCCCCGAGTTCCAATTCCGAGCAGTTATTTTATACACCACTCGCTCATCCAAGCTTACCGCACCTGGTATTTGCAAGCAGTCACCCATTTAGGTACTAACCAGATTCGACGTTGCTTGACTGCGGTAATCGAACGACGGCTGATGTTTCAATGTCATAGTTCCGTAAGCAAATTATAAATGATTTAATTCTAGACGTACACTTAAATTATATTTCATTTAATTCCAAATCTTCATTCAAAATGAAATTCATTTAATTCTAAAACTTCATTCAAAATGAAATTCATTTAATTCTAAAACTTCATTCAAGTTACACTTCATTCATTTATAAAACTTCATTTAAATTATAACTCATTAAATCAATTAAAATTATAAATTAATTCAATTCTCAAATTTCATTCAAATTATGGTTCATTCAATTCTAAAACTTCAATTTAAATTATAATTCCTTAGACTCATAAAAATTATAATTCATTCAATTCTTTAAAATTGTAATTTATTCAATTCTCAAACTTAATTTAAATTATAATTCATTAAATTCCTTAAAGTTATAATTCATTAAATTCATTTAAATTATAATTCATTCAATTCATAAATATTTTTCAAATTATAATTCAATCATTTCTAAAACGTTATTCAAATTATAATTCATTCAATTCTGAAACTTGATTCAAATTATAACTCATTCTATTTTAAAACTTCATTTAAATTATAATTCAGTCAATTCTAAATCTTCATTCAAATTATTATTTACTCTATTTTAAAACTTCATTTAAATTATAATTTATTTAAATTGTAATAAATCAAAATAATATATTAGTTTTTTAACGATCCGTCTTTCCTCATTATTTAAAATAATTTAAAAGATACCACCACAATTCACAATGATGCGGGGCGGGCACACTTTTTTTTACAAGAGCCAGATCAGACGACAAATAGAATGTTGATGCCATATAAGGGCTGGAGATATCCAATCCTCACTTTCAATAGCGAAATCGATCTGATACTGATTCTAAAATTTTATTCAAATTATAATTCATTCAATTCTAAAAACTCATTCAAGTCATAAAACTTCAAAACATTGTTTATTCGCGTGATATGATTTCTTTCCTCAACATCTTCCTTCGACATTATTCGTGCCTTCCTGTAATCAGTCTATAGTTATATGCAACAGACGACAATTCACGAAGAAAAGAACAATAGTTGAAGGACATTGAAAACATAACTTTTTTGGTGACATAGT